CTAGCAGGTGAAGCTAGAATTTATGGAACATTGATTGAAACACGGTTCATCATAATCTTGCCTTTTGTTTATAATTCTAACTTGGTATCAGAGCTACCATGGCCAATGCTAGTAACACATCTCAAAATGCTGACCCTGCTACTATCCCTGCATCATTTTCCAGTAGCACTGCTGCACCATCACCTGGAAACAATCACCTTACACCCTTTGGTGTCAATCTTACCCAAACCGTGTCTGTAATGCTAGATAAGAACAATTATCTGCTCTGGAAAAACATGATTATCCGAATCATTCAAGGATACAATTTGGAGGGATATATTCTTGGGACAAAGCCGTATCCTCAAGAATTCAATGGCACCCAAATTACTGGTGAAGTTGGAACTAGGCCTTGTTTGTTTCTGATTCTCAAATCAATTCTCAAATCAATTCTCATTTTCAACCACACATTCTTCAATAAAATAATATTTTCCATCACATCAATACTTTTTTCTTCTTTTTCAACCACACATTTCCCATCATATCACTATTCAAAATCAATTCTTCCCCCAAAAATCCCTACCAAACAGGCTCCTAGTATTGAGATGGTTAAGAATCTAGAATATTGCCAATGGATGTCCACAGACCAGCTGCTAATGGGATGTCTTTACTCTTCAATGACACCGGATATAGCCATGAGAGTGATGTGTGCAACAAACTCAAAAGAATTGTGGATTGCCATTGAGGAGAGTTATGGAGTCCAAAATAGATCTAGGATCGCCTTTCTCACTGGTGAACTCCAAAAATCAAGGAAAGGAAACCTGAATATTGACCAATACTTAAACAAAGTCAACCAGCTTGCTGATAACCTTGCAATTGCTGGCAAAACTATCACTCCATCAGATCTAATTACTCAGGTCTTAGCAGGTCTTGATGAAGATTATACACGAACCGTTGTCCAAATCAACAGTAAGGATCACATCACTTGGGAAGAACTTTAATCCATACTGATGACCTATGAAAGCAAACTTGAACACCTGAACACCTCAATTCAATCAGAAACGAAATGGTAGGGATAAACATTGACCAAACCTCAGCTAACCTCTCTCAGAGATCTGGTTTTAGTCATCATCACTACAGGTTAAACAAGTCGAATATTGGGGGTAGGTTTACCAATTTCAATCATTACAGAAGTGGCAGAAGAGGTAGAAACAGAGGAAGAAGTTTACATGGGGGTGATAGACTAGTTTGCCAAGTATGTGGAAAAATTGGGCACAAAGCAAATGTATACAACTTTAGATATGATGAAAGATACACTGGACATCACCAATTCAGATGAGCAGCTACAACTCATCACCAATAGCTCTCATAGCTTCTCACAATACCATGAATGATCCAGCATGGTTTACAGACACTGGAGCTAGCAACCACATCACTTCTGATAAAGGTAACATTAGCTCAGCCAGTGAATAGTAGGTAAGGAAAGAATCATGGTAGGAAATGGAAATAAGTTTCTTATCTCACACTTTGGAACCACACACCTACCTGTCTTAAATGACAAAACATTGGTAATGAGTAACCTTCTACATGTGCCTGAAATCAAGAAAAATCTTGTTAGTGTTTCACAACTAACTTCAGATAATCAAGCTTTCATAGAATTTCATCCTAACTGTTGTTTTACCAAGGATCTGTCAAAGAAGAAAGTGATACTTCAAGGGAAGATTAAAAAGGGTTGTATCAACTGGAGTGTCCTCATCGAAATACCAACTACCTAAATCAACAGTCAAGCTCTTCAAATAAAACATACTACAACTTTCTCTCTACTCATCTCAGTCAAAAATCTTCAGCTTCTCTTAGTCAAAAGTCTTCTGTCAATTCAAGTTAAGAGTCCTTAATTTCTAATGTTGATGTATGGCATAAAAGACTTGGTTATCCTTCCAACCAAGTGATGACTCAAGTACTTAAGGTCTGTAATTTGAAAACAAAAGAAAATGACATCAAATCTTTTTGCAATACGTGTTAACTTGACAAATCGCATATGTTACCTTTCTCTCTGTCTTCATCACATGCCAAAACTCCCTTAGAATTAGTATATACTGATATATGAGGACCAGCACCAGCTATGTCAACATCTGGTTTTAGATACTACATAACCTTTCTTGATAATTTCAGTAGGTTTACTTGGATTTATCCTCTGAAACAAAAGTCAAAAGCCTCGAAAGTGTTCAACCAATTCAAGAACTTGTAGAAAACAAATTGAACAACAAAATAAAAACCTTGCAGGCTGACTGGGAAGGTAAATATAGAACTTTCTCGAACCTCTTGACACAAGAAAGCATAGAATTCAAACATCCATGCCCCTACACTTCAACTCAGAACGGCTAAATAGAAAGAAAACATAGGCATATAACTGAGACTAGTTTGACATTTCTAGCTCAAGCCCAATTACCTCTAAAATACTAGTGGGATTCTTTTCAAACTGTAACATACCTCATAAACAGACGGCCTACACCCACTGTTGAATTACAATCACCCTACCAAGTGCTATACAAAAGGGAGCCTAACTATAGAACCTTAAAAGTCTTTAGATGTGCTTGCTATCATTGTTTAAGACCCTTTCAAAGACACAAATTCAACTTCCACTCCACAAAATGTATCTTCATTGGCTATAGTGAATCCCATAAAGGCTATAAGTGTTTGAGCTTAGCATGAAAGTTATCCATCTCAGGACATGTTGTTTTCAATGAACTTGAGTTTCCCTTTGAGTCTTTATTCATTGTCAAAGATCATTCCAAATCTGTAGATCTGGAACTAGTCATGCCATACATTCATCTTCCATCTGAATTCAACAACTCAATCACAACCTCCAATCTTGTTGATACAACTCAGCCTGAAGCAACTCATGTTCAGCATTGCTTACTCTCTTATCTAAGTGATGATCAATAGGAAAATGCATTCCATGACAATAATACTGAGGATTTTGATAGAAATGTAACATAGGAGAATACTAAATTAGAACCTGCAAAATCAGCATTTGATACACTGTAGAATAATGAAAGGACTGAAGATGTTCAACAGCCAGCTGAAATTGAGGTTGGGGAAAGACCAAGAATTCAAAATGAGCATCCTACGATCATTAGAAGTAAAGCTGGGATGGTCAAACCAAAGGCTTACTTAGCTAATTCAGCTGAAAATGCCTCAGAATTGCCTAAACCAAAAAAATGTGGAAGATGCAATGATGAATGCAAACTGGAAGAAAGCTATGGAAGAATAATATAATGCCTTATTAAAGACCAAAACTTGGAAGCTTGTGCCTTCATCACCTACCTACAACATAGTGGGAAATAAATAGGTTTTCAAAATCAAACACAACACAAATGGATTAGTACAAAGGTTCAAATCTAGGCTGGTAGCAAAAAGATTTCATTAGACTAATGGAATTTACTACTATGAAACTTTCAGTCCAATCATTAAACCTTCAAATCTAAGGATTATACTCATTTTGGCAGTTGCTAAGGAATAGACTATCAGGCAAATAGACATCAACAATGTCTTCCTAAATGGAGAACTAGAAGAGATAGTATATATGTCTCAGGCTGAAGGATTTGAAGACAAATCAAAGCCTGACTATGTATGTAAGCTCGAAAAGGCCATATATAGATTGAAGCAGGCCCCCAGGGCCTGGTATGATAAACTGAAAGCAGCCTTTTTGAGCTGGAAATTTAAACAATCTGCAGCTGACACTTCATTGTTCCATTTCAAGAATGAAAGACAGGTGATTCTTGCTCTCATTTATGTTGATGACATTGTTGTAATTGGTAATGACAAGGATTTGTTGAAAGACTTTATAAATACCTTGAACAGATAATTTGCACTAAAAGACATGGGAAGATTACATCACTTCTTTGGAGTAGAAGTAGTATAGCATGATTCCGGTCTTCACCTTACTCAGACAAGATACATTGCTAATTTGCTTAAGAGGTTCGAGCTGCAAAACTTGAATCCTAGTCCTACACCTATTACTGCTGGTAGAACAATCTCCAAGTCTGATGGTGAAAATGTTAGCTGAACCCTCAATCTACAGAAGTACAGTTGGAGCATTACAATACCTCACACATACCAGACCGGATATCACATTTGCAGTTAATAAATTAAGCCAATTTCTGCAAACTCCGACCTCTATACACTGGCAGGCATTGAAGAGAGTGTTACAGTATCTCAAAGGAACAATAAACCATGGCTTATGGATTTAAAGAAGCGACCCATTGAGCTTGAATGGTTACTCAGATGCAGGCTAGGCATCTTACCCTGATGACAGAAGATCAATAACAGGTTACTACATTTATCTGGGAAAAACCTGATAGCTTGGTCTTCAAAGAAACAGCATGTTGTTGTACGATCCAGCACAGAGTCAGAATACAGGGCCCTTACATCCAGCACAGAGTCAGAAATTGCCCAGATTCAGTCATTATTTCAAGAGCTGGAACTTTCACTAGCAGGAATCCCAACTCTATGGTGTGATAATATTAGTACAGGTGCTTTGGCTGCCAACCGTTTACCATGCCAGAACGAAACACATAGAGCTAGACATTCATTTCATCAGAGATAAGGTACTTGAAAAGAAACTGGAAGTAAGATATATACCTACTTCTGATCAAATTGCCGACTTACGGACTAAAGGGCTGAATAATTCAAGATTCCTATTCTTGAAAGACAAGCTTGGAGTTACCTCCGCACCGTCCAGCTTGAAGGAGGGTATTGAGAATTAACGTTCACATATCCAGCTCAGCTTCCTTACTCCTTGTTGTCATTGATGTTTTGCATTGTGTGTTTTTGGACCACCAAGTTATTGTACAAAGATTCCAACATGATCCATAAATTAAGGAACTGCCTAACAACCATTAGTTCTAGATCATTCGTGTAACATTGCCTTGTATTATGTAATCTAGCAGCTGAAGCAGAATTTATAGAACATTGATTGAAACACGGTTCATCATCATCTTGCCTTTTCTTTATAATTCTAACTATCCAAATGGTGTTTGGTCCTCAATATCTAGCACCAAAGCAGCCAATTCCTGTGACTCCACGGCTGGAGAAACTGATGTCGACTCAATGAAATCAGTGCCTTCTAAACTAAGGATGGCAGTTGAACAGTTTGTTGTTCCTGACCTGAGATGGGACCTGACTGTCCTAGTTTGAGATTCTCCTCTTTTGTCATCATCTCCCATTTTTTCAGCACCAATGGGAAGGTCTTCATTAATAGCTTCAGATTTAAAATTTTCAGCGCTACAATCATGAACTGAGATTGTTTTTCTATTCAATTCCTTTAGCACACTTCCATTGCATCCGTGTGATTGTTCTTGTAACTGGTTCTTGATATTAGAATGAATGACATCTGAAGCTTGTGACTCATCGATCTCCTCCACCAATGCTCTTTTCACTGCAACAATATTCTCCTGAGATGTGGATTTTCGGAGACTGGACAAGATTTCATGGGCAAAACGTCTAGGCTTATTTGCAGAGACTGTCCAACTTAATTTTGCGTCATCAATCTTGGAGCTTCTATCATTTAATACCATGCATTTCCCTGGAAAAATCTTGTTTTGAGGTCTCCCGGCATGAAATTTGCCATTGGTAGGGCTCGCTTGGTTATAAGTTGTCTCAGTTTTAACAATAGCTTCACAATTTATTCCTCGAAGAGCCAAGTCCTTTGGAGGCTTATTGTCTTTTTCAAGCTCTCCAATGTCTACTAAATGACAGTCAAATACTAATAATTCACCAGAACTGACTATTTCATCCATTTTCAGAAACCTGTTGTCCAAGAGTCTCCTGGTTGTGTAATACAGCATGACCTGCCTCCCTTGTGATCCATGAACTACCAGCTTTACAATCAAATTAAATCCAAAATTGTGTTTTTCTTCAAACACTTGGTTTTTCAATCTATTTTCCTCCCAAACAATTTCCCATATATATATACTACCCTATGAACGCTCCAAAATATGTTGAATCATATTTTTCCATAGAGATCAATACTTTGAAGGTCCAAAACATTCTTTGATTCAAAGATTCAATATCACATATAACTTGATCCATAAATTCTTCCAAAACATATTTTGTTAATCAAGTCATATTGTTTCATATTAAACCACAATATCAAAACATGTAATATCTTTTGATCAAATACTAAACCACCTAAGTCATCGGAAATAAATCGATACCAATGATTGAGAGCTATTATGGAAGTACAGATTCAAGAGGACTAAGGTAAAGTACCAGGTAGTGGTGGCAATCGAGCTGAGCCGGCTCGTGGGCTCGGCTCGTTGCCACCGAGCTACAAGCTGAGCGGCGGGCTTGCTAGGCGAGCCAAGCCCAGCTCGGCTCGTTTTTTCACGAGCGGCTCGTGGGCTCTGAAAAAAACACTAAAAAATAAAAAAAAAAGCCAAAAAAAATAATAATAATAAATTGACGAGCCACAAACTAGCCGAGCTCGTGGGTCAATGGGCCGAGCAGAGCCGGCTCGGCCCATTGACACCTCTAGTACTAGGAGTCAGGATCAGCGTCAGAAGCACGGAGTCTAGATGGGCTAAAGTATAAATCAGGAGTTGTGATTTGTTTTGAAGGAGCGCACCTCCATTAGAAATTGAGGTCAAAAGTTCTGTAGGATAGAAGAGTTTGAACCATACTGTAAGTTTGCGTAGATTTATAGTGGATTACTGACTGATAAAGTGCTTGGGTTTTTATCCAATTGGGGTTTCTTCATGATCGTCTTCGGTGATTTTTATTGCTTTAATTATTGATCGTGGCTTTCAAATCTTAGGGTAATTAAATTTGATTGACTAATCACCTAGAAACAATTTAAAAATGACTTGTTAGTTTTAATTGTGCATTCCGTACGTAGGTCTAAATAATTTGAACTTTCACATGGAAACTACTAATTAGTTATAAATAGTAAATAATCCTCTAATATTACAATGTTTTTCCAAACGTACCAGAATGACCAGAAACCCGTCCAGAAACCCGTCCGATCATAGGCAAAAAATCAAGAATTTAAAACCGGTTGGTTGACGCTAAAATTTTTGTTTTTATTTATTCATTACTTTGCTCAAAGGTCGTGATGCATATATAAAAAATTAGGGTTAATTTCACAAATGGTCAATGATGTTACATGAAAATAACAAAAAGGTCACTGAAATTTAAAACATGCACAAATGGTCGCTCAACTTTCACGTGGTTGCAGAAATGGTCACTGGAGGTAGTTTTAGGACTTTTATGTTTTAATTGAAACTCAAAGCACCAAAACATGGTCACTTAAAAGTGGAGGACCTCAAGTGCAAAATTCATATAAAACCTATAACCATTTCCTCTCCAAACTCTCTCAACCAGATTCCCGATTGCGTTGGCTTGCTCTAGAAATGGCTGAGACCGACACGGTCGGCAGCTGTCCCCTTACTCACTGAGTAAATGCAGATGAAACCCTGCAGCAAGAAATTAACCAATTCATGGAACAAGTTTTTCTCTCGTATTTTGCCAAGTAATGAAATGGTCAATTCAAGTTGGATTTTACTCCTTGTACAGAACTATTTGTTCTGTAAATTTTACATATACTCACGTGGGGATGGGCCCCATGTGAATAAAATATTATTATAAAAAATGGGGCCCACCCCATTGTCTTATCTATTGTTTTTACAAATGAAATTCTTCTGTAACAGTAGCATGACACAAGTTATTAAGGATTTAGTTCCTTTTGATTATTCGAGTGGCCATAATAAATTTATTGGGAACAAGATTTAGCCCATGTTCGGTTTAGTTAAAAGAGTAGATAAAATAAAAGTTAAAATCAACAAGTAATTTTAATTATAGATTTCATTGGACCCGCAATTTTTTTCAGCTTTTCAACCGTACATTTGATAAACTTTTATCAAAATCTACTAAAAATATAATTTTTAGCAAAATCAAACGGAGGCGGGGGCTGACCCGGGGGATCACGTGCCCCCCAACTTTTTTATTTAATAAAGTTATGTTTGGTATCCATTGAAATCTAAATTTTAATCTAAATCAAAGTTAACAATTAATTTTTATAACATATTTCATGGAATCCATAACTATTTAACTTTTATCAAAATTTACTAAAATTTTGATTTTAATCTCCATCAAACAGATGCAAAATCATAATAAATTTGAATTTTTCTATTTTTCTCTCACCTTTTAACAAAATATTAACTATCTATCAAACAAGGGCGAAATATTGCATTCTTAATACCCGAAGTATTCACGATCTAGTTTTCTACGTTGTTAATGGTGATAAGTGTATTTTGTGCACTTATATAGATCATATTACTTATGTTTCATGTCGTCAAATTATT